GAGAAGTGAAGCCTTCAGTTACCTCAATAGCTTCAGCTGACAAGGCAGCCTTGATCTCTGCAATCCGACGAGCCACGTCATCCCGCCGGTTTCACATTGCTACTCAGAGCGAAGCCCCTCGGCGAAGAACTATTCGACCTAATTTTGCCAATTTTATTAATTTAAGGCCTAAATATAAAAAGATTTACATTTTAAATTGAGAATTTGCATTAATTTAACACCTGAAATAAAGAGTTAAAAAAGAAGTAAAAAAAATATATAAATTTAAAAATTAACCGAAAATGTAAACCTTTTATTAGAAAATAATAAAATTCGGATATGAAATGGAATTCTCCTATTTGAAAAAGTGTGTAATTGGTGTTATGTTTTCACAATATCGATTTTCATATTTATGCTCTGTTCCCTGACATTTTTTTTTTTATTTATTTAATTGTTTGGAACATTTCGAATCATGGTTTTATTTTAATTTTTTGTCCAATTATGATGATAATAATGTAATATTTTCCAATTAAATAAATATTTACATATCTTCTGTTTAATAAAATTAATTACTTTGGTCAATTTATAAATAATATTCTTATCTAAACATACTTTCTGGTAAACAGTTAATAATCTTTGCTTTTGTCTGCTTGAAACCAATGGATAGTAAAATTGACAGAGATAAAATGTCTATATTTTCATTCTGAATGAAAAGTTGAAAACCAATACATAAAGAAACACACAGAAAACATAAGAAAAAGCCCATTCACCAGAGCCCAGAGCAAGATTTCCTGTGCAAATTCAAGAAAGTAAAACAAGCACAACAATTGCTTTTCAACAACTCGAACTCGAATCCAAATGGTGCGAAAGGCTGCTACTTTGCGCCTCTCATAAAAATAATTTAAACCAAGTTCTGGTCTTCAACTCTGATCCTAACGTCGAGTTTTAAGAAACTTCAAAAAAAAAAAAGGAGCTATTGATGATCATAAAACTTTGTTCTACAAAGCTGTCATTTTGGGAAACTCTGTCTGATTATATATATACCACCTTAGGTGCTACTGTAAGTACTAAGCAATTAATTGAGAAGCTGCAGCTATAGATTGAGTCGAGTCCGATTCAGGAGCCTTATTATCCTGAGAACCAATCATGTTTATCTTTATCCTGCAACACAATAAAAAAAATTTCAACATTAATCATTCTTTATTAATTTTTTGCATTTTAGGTATCATCATAGAGGAGTTGAGTTTTGCTTGCTCAAGCAAGTTTTTCAATTAATAGCAAGTTTTGAAAATTACAAACACCTCTATAATATTAGATTCTACACTACATCATCATGCACTCAAAGGGGATTTGTAATGTTCTAAGATGACGATTTCTTCAAATCATCGTTGTTAGTAATATTATCTCAAGGTGTGAATAATAGTTTTTGCAGACAGTGGAGAGTTTTTTTAGAGCTCAAAGGTTAGGTAAGTTTGAAATTTGATACGAGGAAATGATAACTTCACCTGTTGTGTATGTTCACATATTCATCCGTTTCATCCAGTATCTCCTCCTGGCGAAACAAGGCAACAAAATTAATAACAACACATCACACAAAGAGAGTGAAAAAGAAAGAGAATAAATAATCGCAAACTCAAAAGGGTATCAAGTAATCAATTTTTTATTTTTATTTTTATTTTTTCTCAGGTTAGTTGAGTTTGTGCCAATGTTCTTTTTGCGATTTGTTGCCGAAGACTATGAAAACGAACAATGGGTAAACCTTGTGTCAGTTCATCTGATGAATAACCCCAAAAAGTCGCTTCTTATTATCTCAATCCTTAAGGATTTTTAATTCTTTCTAGTTGTTCTTCGAGTTTCTCATTTTTTTAGGGGGTGTGGCATTTCAAGTCTCATTTTAGAAACCCTTTTTCCCTTTTTTTTTTTAACGCGTATACTATTAAGAGAACTCACCTGAAGAAGCTCCTCAATGACATCCTCCATGGATATAACACCTACAGCCACTTGATCAGGCGGAATCTCTGGAATTGGAGACGTGTCCAAATCCAGAATGCAAAATGAACAACCTCTGTGTTTCTTCTTGAAAGCCGGCTGGTTTTTCTTCACTAAGCTCTCGTCTGGTTTTATAGCAAAATTTTGATAATCTGCACAAATAATGATTCCCTCTTAATACGATCACAAATCGGGCATCAACTAATTATGTGTATATATATGTCTTGTCTTGAGAGCCGTCCGACAAAAGCTATACCTTCTTTGGCTTTTTGCAACGACTCTTTTGTTTCGTTCGAGTCCTTATACACAACGGCAATGTGGCTGTGGCCCTTTTGGAATTCATTCAAAATATCATAGAGGGGCATGTTTTCCGAGACACTGTTGGGAATTACACACACAAAATCAATGCAAAGAAAAATTAGCCATTCAAAAACAGAAAAAAAAAAAAAAGAATCACTTGAAGTGGGCTTATACTTATTCAGATAAAGGTTAATGAAAAGGATAGCAACTTTCGAAATTCTCACTCACAAAAGGATTTGGATAGTTGATATAAACATGAAAAAGAACATAAAGGCACATTTGGGATAATAGTTCAAAAATAATCATATCTCACTCTCCTTGATTTTATGCAAATCATACATGGCTTATGATCGGTTCATCAAGAAAGCCGATTTTGTGTCTTCTCAAGTATCAAGGCCCGTATTATTTTTCATGACAGAAAACAAGAAGACAACTACAGCTTTTATCCTCACCGAGGGATTTTTCGTATCAACATTTTTCTGAGAGGAACTGAATCACTCGGGTCAACCGCCAGAAGATTTTTGACCTGCACAAATCATGAAAAACGTGTTAATAAGATTTGCCTCGTGCAAGGAAAAGAAAATGCAGAAATTACGATGGAGTACTCAACATCTCATAATCATACCGAACAATCTAAGGAAAACGACAGAAAAGGGTCACTATTGCAAAGCACAGACAAGAAGAATATGCACTTACCAATATGAGCCCAATGATATTATTTGGGTTTTTGTAGTAAACAGGAACTCTACTGTGGCCCATAGTCATGATGGCATTCAATGTCTCCCTGTGAAAAAATTATAAAGAGAGGATCACGAAAAGTTCAGCAGGATAGAATGAGTTAAGCGTAAAGGCGTATCTTGATTTTGTTGGATAGCAAAATGAATTTTTTTTTTAAAAAAAAAAACCCACAAATTAAGATTCCCATCCAGATCAATGGAAAATGCCTTGGATATAGGGGTCATTGCATCTTTTGCAGTCTTCTCAGTTAATTCCAATGCCCCAGCAATTATTGTGGTCTCGTCATGCGTCAAATCTCCACCTTTTCCAGCCTATTAAAACAAAGATTATATATCCTTCACCGAATCACCATAAGACAAATAACAGATGGTCTTTACACAATCGATACATTCAATAGGAAAAAATAAAGTAATTCACAGTAATTGTGCCGTGAAATAGAAGGAGAACAGGTTGCAAAAACGAAACGCGACACAGAAATTTACCTCATTTCCATGAAAATCAACAAAAGTTTTCAGCTCGGCCCTACGCAATAACGCAGCATGACCCTTACCCAGCATCCAATCAAGAAACTACAAGAAAAAGAGGTTACTTTACGAGAAAAGGTAGAAGACATAATGACATCTTTTTCGTTACACACATAAAAATCTAGTCCTGATTCATGCAATACAGCTTCAAAAGATAAATTGAAAAGCTAAACTCTGAACAACCTTTTGCAAGAAAATAAAATGCGAGGACCGTAGTAATTCCCGTGTAATAAGATATTTACATATGCCTTCAAGAGAATATAACGTAATAATCAACATCAAAATTCTCACTCTGTATATACCTTACTAATTGGATAAGCAATTGGGAAGAACAACCAAAGAAGAAGGCGGACAAAGGGCGCCACAGTAGCTCCAACGGTTAATCCATAGCGAGTACAGATTGCTTGAGGCAATATCTTCAATAAGAAATTACTGAATAAAATTAAATCTTTGCCAGACAAGCAAAAAAACAGCAACAGTCCAAAATTTGCTAGGTTGAGTTGCATAGATAAGGTACCTCTCCAAACATGAGAATGAGTGTGACCGATACCAGAACAGCGGCCCATGGAGGCACGAGCTTGTCCAAGAAAATGGGAAGTGACTACAAATGCAAAAGAGAAAGGTCATTAAGTGTTTCGGTACAGCATACAGTTAAAAAACAACATAGATTGCCATTAAGCCTGTGGACCCACACATTCCCAAAATAGAAAGTGAAATTCAACATACCTCCATAGCTAAAGAGTTCCCAATCAAGAGTGTGCAAAGCAAAAGATGCTGGTTTTTCACCACGGGAAGTATTTTAGCTGCCCATAATATGAACAATCAGATATGTAGACACCGGATACTGAATGCAAACGGTTCACATCGGCAGAGTTACCATTACGCTAATCAAATGTTTACAACACAAAAAGCTTAGATTTTGATGAGAATCATGTCGTTCGAGCAAATAGTCCTTTACGGTTACGACACTCATTGATGGGGACTTAATCTCAGAGAACATAATATCTCAAAAACATGAAGAAAGTACTGCAAGTCATTTAAATGATTCATTTTTCCGACTAATTCCTACGGAGGATATATATCATACGAGAAGGGTGAAGCCCTAAAAGCAAACCAACAGATAGTAATGACTGAAAAATTAGTATGTGCCTGCAGCAATCAAACCAAGAACCTGAAAATTTTAAAACTTAACTCCTCATCTCATTGAAACTCAAATCACACAGAAATTTAAACAACTTCTTATCAAACATAATTACCACACACCCAAAAACAGAATGAGCAACAAATGATTATATAATCAGGTCCACAAATCACACAAAAGAAAACCCACAAAAATCATAGACCCAAAAAAAA